ATGATTAGAGTACAAGACATTGCTGACTAATGCCATACATTACCAATACGACGGCTATGCCTTATGCTTGGGTGATGATACTAAATCCTAGTATTAGGAAGCATCTTTAAAGAAGATATTAACGGGAGCCTTGGTTGGCCTTTGTGGCTTTCTCAAATTGCTATTTTCACTGTGATTTGTCCAAGTAATCTCCTCAAGAAGGACGACATAAATTGGACCAACTTTTACAACAGACATGCTCAATTCAGCCACTTAGACAGGTGAGCTGGATTGAACGAGATAACAATCAATTAAAATATAGTATAGGGCACTCAAATCAAAGATCATGTTCCATCTTATTTTTAATATCAAAGGTCATTATAGAAATTCAATACATATTTTTATTTTTTTCAAATTAATAATAATTTAATCGCGACACCTGTAATGCATTGATTTGATAGTTTAAAATACCGCCTAGGTACTTCATTTGCCACGTCATCAACGCGGAGGTATTTAGGATCCAGAAAAAAAACGGAAAAACCTCGAAGATTGCCGCATTGGAAGTATTTTTCTGTTATTTATCTCTCTTCGTTGGAAGGCCCTACGATTCTCCGGCGATCGCCGGAGATCTGTTCGCCTCTCGATCCAGTGTTCTCTCCTGTGTCCAATTAAGTAAGCGTGATAAAGACGCTCGACATTTTCGATCGTTCAATTACGCGTCAAGATTTTTTTTTTTAATTTTTTGATTTAAGCGATTTATTTTATGCAGCGTTGTTTTGAAGCTAACTTCCCGCAAGGAAACCCTCGCTCTTCTCTGTTTATATAGCAGTGGAGTACCGGACGCTTATTGGTGCCCGCATTCTCTCACCTTGCTTCTGGTACAGAGTCAGATACGTCATCTGTCAACGTGGAAGGATGAATCTGCAAACATGCTTGGCTCCGCCAATCGTATCTTGATTTTCGATTCTTCATGCATTTGCTGTTTTGGTTTCTTGTTGGACTTGCCAGTTAATGTTTGCTAATAGGTCTCTTTTTTTGTTTTTTTTTT